AAACTAGCGGTTACCGTATTAAAATTGTCTTTAAGCAAACGTTAAACTCATTTTAAATTAAATGATGGACGCATTTTTACGTAAAATTTAGCATTTTAATATATCGTTTTAGTTTAAGAAATAATAAACATAATATAAAATACTCCTTACCTTATTATTTTAATGTAATTAATATTTAATACCAACTAAGTGTAATTTCTACAATCAATATTAGACGCCAATTAATACGTCAAGTGAAACGTATTAACGCTTTCTAAGAAGCAACTGTACTGTTTCAATCCAGTTCAGACGTTTATGGGTATGTGTATTCAAAAACCATATTCGCCGTCGAGATCCGTCCCAAATCATGTCAGCGAGCAACTTGTCTACCTGCTTGGGATCCCGTTGTTGCAAGGTGTACACCCTACGCACACAACTGTAACTTCCCTACTACACACGCAAACATGGAGACTGTATCCTTACAAAACAGTCAAGTTTTAAAAGCTTGTTTCAGGAAGATTTTCGAATTGCGAAATGTTTTAAGAAATTAATAAAGAGTCTTTATTACGTATTTTATAACATTTCTATAAAATGTTGATATACTTAATTAAAACGATTGGTTTAAAATTAAAAAAAAATCGTTTGATGATGGATAAACAGATGGTCACCGTCTGTTTATTTCTCTTATGAAATAGGTGCCTTGTTAATATTAGCATTGTTAAATTAAAAAAATGCTAATATTTATCTTTCATGGTTTCTTCTAGAAAACAAAGATTACATTTCACTTCTTTCGACATTCTCACATAGAAGGATGACAACAAAATATTATAAACTGCGTAACCATAAACGCATGGGCCCCACGCACACAGGCTTGCATGCAGGTGTCCCCCCCGCCCCCCACAACTCCGCAGACATCCGATAGAGCACCGAACCTCAGCTGCGTCTCGCGCCCAGTCAGCGCCCGTCAGATGTCGATCGACAGTTTTTTTTTTCGTAGAACGCCCACGTCACATGCACAATAAAGATTCAGCCAGAAGCGACAACTAAAATGCGTACAATTTAAAAAATTCATGTCGCGTGATAAAAAATATTAATATAAGATTTGATTTACATTTTATTTTAGACTATTAATGTTACGAAGAATTACATTAATACAATTTTTTTTTCCGACATAAGCCTTTCTAGGATCACTAGATGTAAGCCATAATATAATTAAAATAGAACTTGTAATATATTTAGATGTATATAGGATAAGATTTTAAATTTTTACATTAGATAATTTAATTTGAATATCGTGCGATGTATATGCCCACAACCTTCGAGTCTACAGATAAGGCTTGTTAGTGTCTGATAAAGTGATAATGGCGCATTGCAGAGTGTGGCTGATTTTTCCATAATAGATATAGTATGTTACCGTGAATTATGGCTTAAAATATTGACAAGCTCTTTAGTAAAATGTCGATTAATATTAGCAATCTATCAATCAATTTTACTTCATACTGGTTTCTAAAAGTTTTATTGTTATTCCTCTAATCGTGGGTTTCAAATACCAAAATCAAAAACATATTGTTATTTCTGTTTTGTGAAAGATAATGAAAGGGATGACGATATGTTTTATACAAATATTTGGTCTCAGAAACCAACGGTTAAACTTATTTCAATTTATGAAAAGGTTTAGTTGACATTATTCATTATTATATTCGTGTGAATTAGATGAATTATGATTATTGAAGACGTAACAGGCTGGCCACGACTAAATATTAGCGAATACATTGCGTGATCCATTTGAGTTGGCTCTAAGTTTTTTAGACACGTGTATTTATTGTCTGCGTGGTGTTTTCTTTTATAATCATAAATGTATTTGTTATGACGCTATATTCAATTACGCATCGCCAGGTGTCGTAGTTAAATGTAAAAAAAAATTACTAACATTTTTATCACTATACATGGTTACAATGTTACCGATCGATTCTGAACTTTGACAATTTTGAATTACTAAACATGTTATAATATGATGTAAGAAAACGTTCAATTAAACGAATTATTAACCATTTAATGTATCAAAATATAACATTGATCTTGATAATAAATTAATGTTTTGCTTGCATTTTGTTTGTTTTAAAAATGACATTTTTAGATAGATGTCTCCTATTTAAATGCATTGTCTTTAATTAGTAGAAAGTTAATAGTGTAACGTATCGCTATAAGTAGGTCTGTCAGTAGCCTTCAGAGACAAGCGTTAGTCATCGGTGCATCATTCCTAATTAAATACGTCACGTATAGTAAGCGATGTAAACAAACTCAAATTAATAGCACTCACACGAATAGATATCACTATGGTAAATACAAAAGAAAATCTCAAACAATCCCTTAAACGACCAGCAAGTGACGTGTGGGTCAATCAAACGAACTGTACTTTACGTTGCTGCGTATTTGGTCGTGTGGCAAACTCTCGTACAATTTGACATCGGCGTAAAGGGGGGACACATTTCTTCAAAGTGTGAAGCCTTATAGCCTCAGCTAAAGTTAAAGTCCTATCATAATCGGTCCAGCAGTTCCAGAGATACCCAGAAAAAAATGTTAAGCAGCAACGATCAATACATTTTTCGATATTAAATTCAGCGAGTATACCTTGAAAATTCATGGAGATTTATTTTAACGGCCGCTACAAGGTTTACTGTTAGATACAAGGAATTTAATGTTATTGTTGTATAGTCGATTAAAACTCAAAGAATATGTTGAATTAAAAATAGCTCCAAGACACAGTAAACTTATCTTTGTGTCTTGTATTCGGATTAAAATTGTAAACCGCAATTTATATTTGCTATATAACGATTGCGGTTTTAAAGTTAGTATCAACATAATTGTTAACGCCGCAATGAACCTAGAATGGTTAGAAGGTACTTATTTTATTGCTAAATTAATAATTATGTTCTTCTGAAATCTGTAGAGCACTTTAAATTTTTAACGCCTTTTTTTAATATTTTGATTTATTTATTTATTCAATTTAATCATGTCCAGAAACATGAAACAGTCTTTATTTTACTAAGTCCCCATTTACTTACGATAAAAATTGTTGTAAAATAGATTTTAAGAAAATTTTGTTCTTATCTTAAAATAGGTAAAAAAAATGAATTCTATATATTTTATGGGACTCGTGGTATTCGGGTTACGAGATGGAGGCAATGTGGAAATATCTACTAACGCTTAACAGACAAATAAAAAAATAATAAGTAACAAAAATGTTTATGGCCGTAATTTTGCCAAGAATGGTTAGTGAAAAAGTTTGACACACTTTTTTTCCTACCGTAATGTGTTTGGTTAAAACATTTTAACGTTTGGCAAAAGCCAGTTGTCTTATGGACTAATTGCAACTTGATAGTTTTAGCACATTTATATGGCAACATTAAAATAACCTAGCAATTATTTAAAAGTTTAAGATATTGATAGTTTGGGAAATATTTAAGTTTTTCCTATTTTCAACAATGTAATCTTACATGATCAATAGTGATAGACATGACTAAGAAAGAGCGGGAAAAATACAGTTAGAAATTCGGGAGCAAGCCAATTTTTAATCTACTACGCAGTTTGAGGATAGCCAGGTACGAATTTTAAAGGCGCGTTCTTATAGCTTTGCTACTGCCTTAGTTTTTTCTGCTTTGTAAAATTTAATCAATAAATGAATATGATAACATTGTTTGTTGTCAAATTCGTGGGACCAATTAGAAGAGATTGCGATGTTGAATGAGCGGTATCATGGTAGATTAGGTTAGATAACACTTGTCAGACTGGGGATGGGCACGTACGCCGAAAACAAAACTATTAACATGATTTTTATCGTCATTTACCTCCATTGTTTTTTTTTATTAAAGCAAAAAGACGTTCAGAATTAACATGGACAGTAAATCGCTAAAGAAAAATACTAGCTTAATGGGTTCTTGACAGAAATTCATCAATTTCCAATAATAAAAACCATATAAAATATATCCTTCTAAAGAGAGCATTGAGGTATACTTTCAGACGGCCAGTGTATTCATCAAAATATTTTTCTCAGACCTGCAGGTTTCCTCGCGATGTTTTCTTTCACTGCCGGGTCAATAAACGGCCAGGTTGTTGATATAGCCTGGGAGATATTAATATTAAAGTCTTAAAACAATGAGGCCGCTTGCCTTGCATACACTTTGAATATTTAAATATATTACGTAGGTATCCCATGGATTTGTATAATGATCAGTGTCGAATCATTTCAATTGGATATTTTTAAACTTATAGATAAAAGATAAATAAAGCTACACCTATCGAGTGCCTCCTGCAACTAAATATAGGTAAGTTCTACGTCACATAACATTACATGTAGGTAGGTATACTTTGTCAGTATTGATGGTAGCATTTCTCGCTCAAGCTAAATCATCTAGTGTCGTTTACACTACAAAGGGTAAACACGATCGTAAAGTTATGGATTTATTGCTTTGTCTTATCGATACTTTCCCATTAAAGGTCCACGATGAATTAATAATAGAACAGCGTCGACCGTTGTGCGAAATTGGGACGTAGTCGATACGATATTAAATATAAATGAAAATGTTATTGGAAAGGTGCGGTCTGTTTTGTATAAGAGTGCGGATCATTAGAAACGAGTTGCGGCGAAACGATCGGTGTATCGCACCGCCTCCACTCGACGCTCAACGCTCAGGTAGAGCCGGGATAAAAACACCACTCGAAATGGAACGGACGGGCTCACCTAGATAACGCACCGATCGGCCAACGAAGAAGTTACACGGAACGTGATCGCAAAGATATCGTCGACACCGCCACTAATGATTCAACCGTCTCGAAAGACTCATTACAAAACTTTTGATTATCCATTCATATAACACGTAAGCTGATAATATAAATCTGCCCTACCGACAAATGAATGAACTTATAACATGTAAATTCGTCGCTTACAAATCGCGACACAGCACCGCGCGTAGGCGTCGGAGTTTGAATGAAAATAAACATTTCAGCCGTTGCGAGCTTACCTCTCGATTTTAATGATATTATCCAGATTAGCGATATGGGCACGGCACTTTGTTATAGATAGGTGAGTGGGTCACACTGAACTTCGGCTGAACACTTTGTTTTGTGAACTTTGTACGCGGCACGGAGCGATGAACACTGCCGGCCTGCGCGATCGACACTGAAGTCGTGTTTAGTTCGTCCGTGGGCGCTGCGCTCGCGTCGCCGGCACCCGGCACGCACACACGTTTGTTCATTGAACACCAGTCGGGGTGGGGAGGACTTATGAATGGACGTAGTGAAGCCGAGAGCCGAGACGTACAGATAGCAGTGATAAGGCGAGCGTTATTACATATGATATTGGAGCACCGAAACACAAAACGTTCATGTCGTTATAACGATGCATCGAAGTAGATGAAATGCACGAATACACGTAATATGATATTTCGTAACATTCCATTTATTGAGGTAATAAAACTATGTCAAAGGCTACATAAATAATATGTACATAACAAATATTCATCGCATTTGCAATATTTTATGCAGTCATTGCAAGTAAGAGCTGACCACCACTTTACTATAACAAAATCTAGAATTCATTCAGGCATGAGTTTTATTTTAACTTCTTTTTTCTTCTCTCCTGTACAAAATGCAAATTTTTCGTTAGAATAAAAACAAAATGATTGCCCACAGTTTCTATGCAAAAGTTACGTAAAATGTGTTTGGTTTCATGCCAATCCTCTCGACGATTGTATTTTCGTACATAACGGGTAACGAATATCATTTGTCATGTAAATAAAAACCTATATAATGAAATAATAACTAGTCGCAATATGTAGTAAGTAACGTAATATTTATTTTTAACATTGTCCTTGAAGATATATCTGACAAGCAAACAACAAAGGATTGTATCTGATATTACTTCTCAGTTACGACTCTCCTACTCTTTTGTGAATATTTATTTAGTGTTTATTAAATTTAAAATGAAATATAGTTAGTACGAAATCTGCATGGACTTATAGCTATTACCTATTACAGATTTATTACCTATTAGACTATTTACCGCGATTTCGTCGCCTGGAGTTTAAAAGATCAAACATACCTTCATCTCATTATATCGAATTTTACAGTTTTTTAAAGAAAGCTAAAACACCTACTTAATTAGTTATTTATCCTCAAAAATGTTTTATCAATTTACAAATAATTCTGTTTGAGGAATGCACCAAATAAACATTTGCCTACCACTTTAGACCTTTTGCTATGGCTACGTATTACCCCTAAATCCAATAGTTTTGCCTGTGCGTTGATAGTTAACTCTTTTATATATAAAGATGTGATCAATTCTTCATCTCCGTGAATATTCACTGTTAAAAACCAGTACCAACTTATATTAATATCTCATTTTTAAGGACAATAAGAGACATATGTTTGTATATATAATTCTTCTGTGAGTGTATGTCACTGAACTTCTCTCAAACGACTGGACCGATTTTGATGAAATTTTTTGTGTGTGTTCAAAGGAATCTGGGAATGGTTTAGATTCACAATTTTGCCCGCTGGACAATGTTTTTTTAATTTATTAGTTGTTGTTTTTGGAATGTTTTACATTGGATCCGACAGACGGCGCTACCATCGCAGTGTCAAATTTTAAATAATATTCGAATTTTAATTTTAGTCTATCCCGACAGTTATTTTAAATTTTCAAATTAAATACGTGTAGACAGGACAACGTCTGTCGGGTCCGCTAGTATGTTTGTAAGACTTGGTTGCGCGTATAAAGTCGTGGGAACTTATCACGGTGCCATGGTAAGTTCCCATATCCCAATGACTTAAAAATGTATATGACCAATTATATTAAAATACAATATACAATTCATTGTATATACAATTGTTATTGGGAATAAAAAAAAACAAGTGATCGTTTACATTTTATTATAATTTAATGTTATTTACATAAGCAGTAACAATTTATTATGTAAAGATAAACGTTTTATCGCTTTTGATATATTTACGACAGTCCTTTAAGGAAACTGGATAACTTATGACTTTTATAGTCAGACCGCAGCTGTATAAAGTTGTGTAGTATAGACTGGTCTAGTTCGGCCTGAGATAAAAAAAAATAGTATCTTACAATATTGTAAATGCAAATATTTGGATGGATGGATGTTTATTACAAGGTAACTCACGAACGGTTGCATGGATCTTGATGAAATTTAGCATAGATGTAGAACATAGTCTGGAAGAACACATAGGCTACTAATTAACTTTTTTTATTTCACAGTAACTAAATAACAAAAAAATACAGGAAAGATCGATAATAAAATGACTTGATGAACCGTTATTGAAAATATATAGCCATCCCTTTCATACTCTTTGAAAAGAACAGAGATAAAATATGATTACGTGCAACAAAGGAAAATAAGGACAAAAAACATTTGTGTGGAATAGAGTTAGTTTTATACTTACCAGTGTCTCTCCTTCACAGACTTGATGCAAGTTCTCCGGCTTTACTAATAATAAGTTGCAAAGTGCGTGCAGTGCGTCAAACAGCGCGTGCGCATGCGGCGCGCTGCCAGACCTGCCGCACGCCGCTGATCTATATTCTTTTACATCGCAGATAGCTATCATTGCACCTACCAACATAACTTCTTAGTTATACTGACGCCTTAGTACACAAAGCTACTATTATCTAAGAAAATATAGAAAATCAACAAACATTTCATAATATCTTGTGCGATATTTTTAATGGAATATTTAAATTATTACAATGGCAACATTAAGCCGTACAGCTGCTGCTCCCTCATTGGTCAAAATATGATGCTGTCAACATGACCTTGACAGTGAACAAATATATTTTTTCCAATCTTGTGATGCCTTTTAGTAAGAGAAATTTTATTGACAGGACCTTTAATATCGTATCTTACTAATATTATTAATATGCAAGTTTGTATGTTTGGATGTATTAACATACATGGTAAGCCAAGTTACAAGACCGAACAGATATGTATAAATTTGCTACAGTTTGCAAGTAGGCGAAGTCGGGGGAGGAAGCTAAGCTAGCTCTCACCTGCAGAATTGAACTGGAAGTTCTGCAAATGTTCATATATAACTCTGTGCAGGCGCACTGCGAGCTCCAGAGACACCGCCTGCAAATTCTCACCCTCCAAATTCGCGTACACTTTGTCCATTACTGAGTTCAAGTAAGACACCACAGCCAAACACGCCTGAGTACAACAAAAAAAAAATCCTGTGGATAAATACTAGAGTGGTAAAAATTTATAAAAATCTATTGCGATCTAATTAAGAAAAAATTAAAAAAAAATGTCGATGATTCGCTCCAAGTCCTTTGAAATTTTCACTCTCGCTCCTTGCCTTTCTCCGGACACTCGCTCTATCTCTTTTACTCATATGTGATGCGATAGTTTCAGTCTCTTTCTGGCTGAAGTATGGCACTATCCTTGTCTCGTTTACTTACATGTCATACGATATTATCTATCTCTTTCTGGCTGAAGCACTATCTCTGTCTCGTTTACTCACAGGTGATGCGAGGGTGTCGATGTCTCCTTCAGGCTTGAAGTCAGTCTTCTTCTGCTCTGTATGCAGATGCAAACGCACCCAGCCAACGACAGCAGCAATAGCGCGTTCCAGCCCAGCATCCACTTTGTTTTCCAGCTGTTCCAGCACTAAGGTCTTCTTCTGTACGCACTCGCTCTGTTTTGTTGTTGAACTATAACATATAATTATCTATTACACAATTTTGGCCTAAACTTAATACTATACAATTGTCGATAATGTCAAAAATGTACTAGACATTATTCTGCATTAGATTTGGCACGTAAGCAACAAGAGTTCTCTACCTATTGACGTGCCAACTCAAATGTTGTGTACTATAAATTTATAAATACCTCAAACAGGGTAATACTGATTCTTGAAAATGCTCTTCAAACATCTTCACGATTTTATTCGTCTGGTTAACAATTTCAAAGAAGTAAATCTGTGAACAAAATATAATAGTTTTTAAGAAATTATATTTATTAAAGACATTTTATACATATAAGAGTAAGAGTTAAAAAATGGAGAATGAAAGAGTCACATCTCTTAAGAGGAGATTTCGTAATATTTACTTCAGAGAGATAAAGAGAGTTACATATTTTGGGAAGAGATTTTATAAGAGGAGGAGATAAGAGTTATATAGAGACTTCATTGTTACTCGTCAGATGGTCTCACCTGTGGTGGTGATTTGTTCTCAGCAATAGGTATGGACTGAAGGCCGAGGTCTAGTGCATAGTCTACGTGTTCAATCAATAACTGCTGTATCAGAACATCAAGTAGAGCTATCGCGGTACCTGACAACTCATTGCTAGTACATAGCTGGAAAGGTAAAATTAATTATTTTAATTTAAATTGTACAGTTTTGTATTTAAATTACTAACTATGGGTTTCTGAGACCAAAGTTCTCGTTTTAAACATGAGTATATGTTTTATACAGAGATTTTTGTCTCAGAAACCAACATTAAAAATGCAATAAGTGTTCTTTACTTTTCTTTAGAATTTGTATGTTTTTCAATCAAAATTTACTATCATTATAAGTCATGTGACTAAAGAAGAAAAATTCAGTTTTTCACTTTAGTTGTTGAGAAATATTACAAAGATGAATTTGATTACAACAATTAACACCACCGCTGCAAATAGCTACCATGGCGAAAATCAAATAGGCACAAAAAACGATGTCTGACAGCCAGTCCATTTATAAAGGTTAGTGACTTCAACCATACAAGAATTAAAAACAAGTATAAAATTGTAACTCACAGTTTTACATCTGAGGAAGGACATGTTTGCATCAGCGAGCATTTTCTGTACTAATTGCTCGCTGAGGAAGGTCTCTCCACCATAGTTCTCTATTTGAGCTATGTTAATATTAGCCCGGGTGCCTATCACCGCTTGTAAATCACGACGGAGCTCTTGGAATCTTAAACATTTTTTTTTGTTGAAACATGGTAATTTACTTTTTAATATCCTTGATTATGATCAAATTTCTAGTTATAGTAAAAATTGTAGATTATATAAATATATTAAATGTAGCTTCTACAATAAAAACAAACTCGTTTTTGAAAAATGAAAAAATACTGGCACACATACAATGTCATATTCTTAAAAAAATTACTTTAAAAAAAAGAAAAACAAAATTGGTTCCGAACACACTCTGAACCAAATATTCCT